GTCATCCAAGAATCTGCTATAGATATTTGTGATCCTAATAAGAGATTAAGAACTAATTCTAAGATCAGCACTTCGTATGTCCCCATTCGAATGGTCCAGTAAAATATTTTAAGGGTTCAGGTACAGTATATGTCAGAGATCAATGAAACTGGTCTGTTGCAAGGAAAATTAACTGGGTGGTCCCCAAGTAAAGGAATGAAGGAAAACAGACAGACAAGGAAAGGAAAGGAAAGGAAGCACATTTTCAACTCCTCCTGAATTCTCTCTACTTCCCACATTGTGTAACAACTTAATGAAGAGTCTCAAGAACTCAACATTTTGATAGCTCCCTTTCCTTCCCTCTCTCCCTCTCTCCCTTTCTTTCTTACATTTTGTGGCCAACAGAGGTATTATCATATTAATCCGAATTCTCTCTACTTCCCACATTGTGTCACAACTTAATGAAGAGTCTCAAGAATTCAACATTTTGGTACCTCCCTTTCCTTCCCTCTCTCCCTTTCTTTCTTACATTTCGTGGCCAACAGAGGTATTATCATATTAATCAGTCTGGTTGGCATATTACTAGATGATCAAAGTCATGATTTATGTTGTTGCTGTTACTCAAAAACTCTATCCCTCCTTTTGGATGAATCCTGTGCAGGAAAGACTAGATAGATGCTCACAGCTCACAACTTGATATACAATTTACTTATGACACTGAATAAATACAGCAGCCGAAATCTTGTTTCGTAGTATAATACGTTGCACTTATTATACTTATTATAGGTCCACTGAACCTCCTTAAGTTACATTGAATCAAATGGGCAAAACTTTAGCTGTGACCTACTCCGCTAAGCAACAGGACTTCAGCCAACTAATTACTAACATTTCAACAACTGGTTTGGTGTATACGCAAGAATATGCAACAGAAGTTGTGTGATAATATTCCAGAAAAGGAAATATTGAAATGCAAATGGCCCAAAAACTTAAGATGTTTTTGTCTCTTCTACAACTTATTTGGTCCTATTACAGTATTGTGCTACTGCTGCTTTTAAAAACGCAATCAATCAACACTTAACAAACCAAATACAGACCAGCCTGTATTTTTGGTCTGTTTTGAATAGATGCTGTATAAGAACTGGGCTTCCCCTGGAGCACAGCAAGGACAATAATCTGGCCCTCCAAATGCTGTTTGATTTCATCTCCTTATCCTCTCTGGCTAGGACTGATGGGACCTGCAGTCTAGCAAACACCCAAAGAACCCCATGTCTCTTATGTCTATCACAAACAGTTCACTTGAAGATGTGCTTGCTGGGGAAGGGCTTGGGTTGGCTGGGAAAATTTACAAGGCTTCTGGGGTCTTGCCATGAAAAGACAGGTGAGATAATTCTCATGAATTGCATTCCATCAACTCAGTTCTGACTTATAGCAACCCTTTCCAGGGTTTTTTAGGTAAAGAATGCTCAGAAGTTGCTTGTCATTCCCTTCTTCTAGGGATGCCCTGGGAATGTGCAGCTTGTCCAAGGCTACACAGGCTGGTTCTTCTCCCAGGAGGCAATGTGGGGAATCAAAATTGCTTTGCAGCCAAACAGATACCTAACTCACTCAGTGGGTAGCAAAGATGGGCCAAAAATTTTAAAAAGTGTACCCACCATCCTATAACACAGTAACAGAGCATATTGTAGCAGGGGGCAATCCATGGACGGAGGGAAGTCAAATGCTCCAGATTTCAGGGACAGTATTCTTTGTATTCTTGAAGGCTTTCACGGCTGGGATCCAATGGTTGTTGTGGGTATTCTGGGCTGTTTGGCCATATTCTTAAGGTTTTTCTTCCTAACATTTCGCCACTCTCTGTGGCCAGCATCTTCAGAGGACAGGAGTCAGAACACTGTCTGTGCTCTCGTGCTGTTTGTGGGATAGTTGAGTGTTTATAGCTGTGGGATCAGCTCAAAGGCTGATCTAAACAAATATTTCCATTTGAAATATGGAAACCCAAGACTATACATTCTCTGATAATAACTGTCGCATCCACCCAGTGTCCTTTGTTTATTTTCCCTTAAACACAAGTCCACCCTCTGGATGCGTTTCCTCACTTCACGCTGCCACCAGGTATTATTCCTCAATACCAAATAGATAGATCTTAGACACGTGCTCCCAATACAACATATTTATTTATATTATAGTTGTTATGCAAATGACAGATGTAAATCACAGATGTTTAGCATCATTTATTAAATAGCATTTGATTTCACATGGGTTTGTAGATGCTTTTATTCACTTTTACAATGTTCATTGATTATCTATTTATTCTCTATACTTCTGAACTCTTTCCTATTCTCTCTAGCATTCCAGCTTTCCAATCTTTGTCTTCTTTCTCAATTCAATCTCCTCTCTCTCTTCAATTCCCTATCTCCAACCTCTTTTTTCCAACTCTCCTCTCTCACTGTCTAACTGGGTTTTTTTTTTGTTCCGCCCCTCCTGTCCTCTCATAGGCTCCTGCCCTTGAGCTCCCCATGATGAATAGGTGTGACGTGGGGGTTCTGCCACATAAACATTATCAAAATCTGTACATAATACACCAAATTTCTATTTTGCTTTATTATTCTTTCTTTAAAGAACCACATCCTAAACAAATAATAACGTGGCCTGCATTGAAGATGCACAATGCTTCAAGATGCAATACAGCAAGACAAACTGGTGAACGCATCTATCTCTTTAACAGTAAACAATAAGCCAAGTGATGCTTAACCTCTGGGGTTCTTTGTTTATCTCCCCACCTGCACCAACTAAGAGGCAAAATGAGATCTCCTTTAAATTCTATTTTATAATTTAAAAAACCCCAAAAGACCAAAGATAGTACTGGATTGCTAAGCAGTGATTCAAAGAACAATGGGTGTTCATGCACTATGCTTTACTTGTTGACTCTTCTGAAGTGGAAATTGTACCAATGAAAGTAGAGACTGGAATGCTCTATAATGCAGAATTCATCTACAAAGTTTCTTCTTTCTTTCTTTCTTTCTTTCTTTCTTTCTTTCTTTCTCTCTTTCTCTCTTTCTTTCTTTCTTTCTTGTTTGGTGTGATGCATACAAAGAATAGAAACAATTATATGTGTACAGTTGAGGCATCAACCTTTCTGACTTTCATCTCCAGCTGCTCCTTTTACAGGTGAATTCTGAGTTTACCTCAGGAAATAAGATACAGCAGGGGAAATCCAGTAATACATCACCACTAGAATAGGCCCATTTAGTCAGTGAGGATTTGGTGAGTCAACTCCTCTACTAGTTCCACTGATTCAGTTGGCCTGAGTGTGACTTACTACTGATTTTCAGTCATTATGCTATAAATTCTTGAGCTAACTACCTTTACCCTGCTTTCATCATGCTGTGGTGGCAGAAGAGACTGTCCTTTCATTGGGCAGCAAAATGTGGTGAAGAAGATGAAAGGATAAGAACATGTTTTATTGTAGAGCATGCAGCATTAATCTGGGTCACGCGGAGGTGGATAAAGTCTATACTAGTATGCTGGATAGTCAAAGCTGGGCCCTAGAAGCAACCAAAGATACTGAGCTTCTCTCTGGATCTGTGTAAACTGCAAAGTCCACTCCAGGTTGCAAGATGCCATCAAGTTTGAATTTCTTTGTAGCCAATTTGTTTCGAAGCTAATGGCATTCTTCCTGGAGGGGGAAGAGGATCCAAGAAGAAGAGAGACTAGGATGTCGAACTACATGGTCTGTTGAACTCTATGGTTTGAAATCATCCTAAAGTTTCTATATCAACTTTGGTAATTGCTTAGACTACAAGCAAATAAAGACATGGGAGCTTGTGTTTCCGAAGTTCCATAAAGAAAACACAGGATCAGGTGGGACAGACCAGCTAAAACTAAAGCACCACAAGATTAATTTTGTGCCTTGGACTTCACTTCTAACATTAAGAACAGTGCTGTAAATGAGTTTATGACTGGACATCTCATAAATAGGCCATATCATGATAAGGGGAGCTTGTGTCAAGAAGAACAAGCTCTATTAATACTTTAAAACAGCCTTTCAGGAACTGAATCGAAGAAACTCACCGCTCCCACAGAACAAATAGAAGGACAGCTTTTAAAATATACAACACTAAATCTTTTAAAATAAATAATTTACTATATGGTGATCATTATGTTAGCTCAGTGAAAAAGAAAGAGGAAGCAATAGAATTATCTGTTAGTCTCACGTGGAGAGGCCTGTGCACATAAAAGACAGGAGGATTTCTGCTTTGAATTAACCACAGCTACAATTTTTCAAATCTTGTTTCCCACCCATCTCTGACATACCCAGAAGAATTCAAAGAAAGGGTAAGCAATTAATGGTGTGATAGTATATGAGTATCAGAAGCAGTATGACTCTGTGTCTCACTCCACACTGAAAACCAAACAACCCAACAGGGTAAAACACAGCTGGAAACATTTAAATTAGGTAGACTCTCTTTCTTTGTTTTCTAAGCTTGTTGTCATTTGTAACCCCCCCACCTCCTGTGACTTCTCAATATTTAATCACAGACTAAATGATCAGAGTGCCCAGCACAGTTTGCAGAAAACAAATACGACTCTTCTTTTATCAGCTCTGTCTTTATTCTCCAACTTTGCATGAGGCTTTTATAGCCATCTCCTTTTCTTTTCTCCTCCTTTTCTTTTCTTTCCATGTAAGTCCTCCATGGAGGCAGACAAAATTTTTGTGCCAGAACATTCCACCCTCACATCTGCATCAGAATTTTCTAAGACCCCAAAGATATAATTTTTAATAGGAAATCTATAATGATAATAAGTTGGAAAGGCATGGTATCATTCCCCACCGGCACCACTACGATGTCAAATACTTCATTAAAAAGATTTTCAAAAAGACATTCCAGAACTGTTTATCTGACATCTGGCCTTTAAAGCCTGAGTTCGGGTTTTCCTCAGCTTAACAAAAAACATTACTCTATAAAATCCCCTTTGGGGATTTGGGCTCCCCCCCCCCAATAAGCTAGTTTTGTGATCTGTACCTTTTTCCAAGCATAGGGTCTCGCTTCCATCTGTTGAGTTGTCTGTAACTGTAGGCATTGCCTCATCTGTGTTTTTAAAGAGAGAAATTATATTTATTAGGATATAATTTGAGTTTAGCAATGATCATAAACTGTTACACCTGCTCACAGATGTATCACTTACTCATGTCATGATTAGCTTTTGGCCTTTGTTAATTTTTCAGTGGTACACTGAGCTGCGTGAGAGTTTACATAACATCAGTTCCAATGTAGATACAAATGAGTGAAACACTCAGGGGGGAATTATTCTAATTAATGGAATTTGTACTCTTTTGTTTAATTTGATGTCCTTTTTAATTTTATTCCTTTTTATATTTTGCACAAAAAACCCCAAAACAAACAGAAAAGGGGAAAAACATTAGAAATTCTTGCTCTTTAATATTTACTTATTCTAATTCGGTACAGTCATGGGGATAAGGATGGTGAGAGTAATTACTCTTATGATTCTTGATTATATTTTGGAGAACAGAGAAGCATTCCCTAATTTGAGGATGAGAGCATGTTCATTCTGATGTTGATGAGTTCCCATCTTTCTTACAAAAGCAATGTATCTGGGGACATTATTTAATGGGAGTACACCTTGAGAGAAACAAGTCTGTGGTGTTTGTCCTTTCTATGACTAGTCCTGGAAGAAAGGTGGCATATTAAATAAATAAATAAGTAAACAGATAGATACACAGATCTATTATTGATTTAGTTTGTAGCCTCTGGGGATATTCCTGTGAAAGGGGAAAATAACATCAGGGGAATAGGAAGTCACACTTGACTGACACTGATCACACAAGGGAAATGTTTTCTACTTCTTCCAATATTTTCCATACTTCTGCTGTACTGAATCGTGGTCACATGGCTTATATCCCAGGATGAATGTCCCAAGAGCTTTTAGCAGCACCAGTTTATTTCCTCCTGTATGAATCATTAGGGCTAGCCACACCATGGTACTGTTTTTTTTCCTACTGCTTAAAGGCCCAGTTTAGCCCCTTGATTTATGTATATCATTGATATATGAGAACCAAGGCTTCCTCTAAGGTGCATGATTGCGTGAGCGTGCTTGACTCTGTCTCTCCCTCCCCTGGACAGCTTTCCTCCTTCCCTGTGCACTGTGCTTGGCTCTGTCCCTCCCTCCCCTGGACAGTAATTGTTTCTAGGGCATTTTATTCTGGTCGCGCCCCATGCAGGTTGGGGGGACTCGCACACGGGGGGGGCATTGATCGGGAAGGAGGTTCTGTTTAGGAAAGTGTCCTCCGTTGCAAATGCATTGTACACAGTAGATGTAGATCCCTTCCAGCTTTGCAGTTCTAAGATGATTACTAAGATGATATCTACATTGAAGAAATTCTACTATTTTGAATGGGGCTTCATCCAAGATAAGTGTATACACAATTGCAGCCTGCCTTCTAAATTTTGTTTGGCTCTAACTGCTGTTACAGTAGAACCCTCATATTTGTGGGATCAATATCCACAGTTTCACTTATCCATGGTTTGTCACAGCCCCATATGCAATATAGAAGAGTTACCCTTTTGTGGTCTTTTTCCTGCCCCCTTGTATGCTGTATATTGGGTTCCCTCATATCCATAGTTTCAGGTATCCATGGAAGATTGTGGAACCCATCCCCTGCAGATATGTGGGTCCTACTGTATTTTTAAACAGCCATGCTCACCAGCAAGTGTCATGACAACGCCACAACCAATAGATGAGTTATTTGTAATCCACAGCAATGACAGATTTTTTTCATGGTGGCATCCGTTTTCAGTATGCTCATTCCTGTCGGATGTATGCCTGATACCAACATTTGATTCTTCTTGATGTCAGGTTAATACCTTTTTGATTTGTCCAGGCATTTTAAATTGAAGGTCACCTTTTTTGGTTGACAGGTATATATATACCTCTCATTTTTACTCTGTTGATGTTTGATTTTATGCAGTTTATATTAGGCTAAATTCAGAGCTCCCACTGTGCCCACAGAAGAGCTTCTGTGACTGCGAGCAGGAAAGGAACAATCTCCCAACCTCCTTGATACCCCCCCAAGCCTTAAAAACTTGCTCTGAAGGGCTGAAAACCCCTATAGAACACACTTTCAGGTCTGAGCATTTTCAGAGGAGGCTATGAGGAAGAGTGTTAAAAAAATCATCTCCTAATTACTATTGTTTCACATTGTATTTTGGCCACTACATTTAATTTTTTTTTCAGGTACAGTATGTTGTGATCTGTATATATTAAAATTACATAAATAATGTAATCCTCTTCTTGTAGCCCCAGTTTGCCAGGGGGGAAAAGGTAGGTTTCATGGTTCACAAAGCATTCTCTGATATACTAATAAGCTATTAGATAACAACTGGGCTGCTCAGGGACTGAACAGGTGGGTCACTCACTCACACACAAACAAACTGGTAATAAGCCAAGTTTGGCTACTATCCTAAATGAAGTCACCATAATCAGCAGCTAACATTTTAGAGTCCTTTTTGTTCACTGGATAAACCAGTGGAACCTGCCTCCAGATTTAAGATATACAATGCTACAAACTATGCTTGGCAAGCCAAGGAAATATGGCAGACAAAAGTGACACCTAAAATTACCCTACCCATGTAAATGTAGATTTACAGGTAGTCAGGCATCCCCACATGGAGGGAAAATTTAGCAGGAGGAAGCACAACCTGCAAACTTCATAAAGACGTTCCACGTGGGCAAACCCACATGAAATGAGATTTCCTGGTTTTAAAATATTCTAAATCATTTCAGACTATTCATTTTTTTTTATATTTTTATAATTTACAACACACCTCACAATCCTCTCGTATACAGCAGGATAGAAATAGTTCGAGAGGCAGTGTGGTGCAGTGGATCCTAGGGAACAGGAGACCTGAGTTCAGATCCCTATTCAGTCAAGGATACTCACAGAGAGGTGGCAATGGTGAACTATGCCTTCAGTTTCTCACACACTACAGAAACCCCGTCAGGTTTGCCATATGTTGGGAAAGAGAGAGAGAGGCAGGCAGGCAGTGGAAGGGAGGTCTTCCAGTACAATCCTTGGTTTTTCCTCCTGCCTTTTAAGAGCTGGATGTAAAGTTCACAGGGAGAAAGGTCACAATAACACCAACTCCAGTCATTAAAGGTCTGGCCTTGTTCTATGGAACACTTAGAGTCAGAGCAGTGTTTCTCAGGCCTGATTTTAATGTTCAGTTTGACAGTAAAATCTATATAATGTGATTTTTAGCTGTCGCTTTGTGTGCTTTTGTAAACCTCACCTGCTGAGCCCTGAGTCTTAAAAGGTCCCAGAAACAAAACTTCAGGGATTTAGAAAAGGTCAGATTCCACCACATGGGGTCTATTTGGAAAGGGGGGGGGGATTGTCATCACCAGTGTAAAAATAACACCTATCTGTAATGCTGCAACAACCTACCCTTATAAAAATGAGCCTGGATATGCAGGAATGAGGAATAGGGTTCTTGCCGTAAGTTTTTATACAAGTCCCAATGAAAACTGAATGCCTGACTGCACATGTGCAGACGCTTGGTAAGCAGGCACAAAGGAGTCATTATTAAAAAGGGGTGGGTGGGTGGATAAAGGCAGCTTAAATCTGAAAGCATCAAGAGAACATGGCAGCTGCGAATAAACAGCTGAATAATCGGAGTCTGCGGGATTCTATGGCAGCATGGTAATAGTGCCATGTGTACAGTGCTTCTCCTGCAGACCAGAACAAGAGGGAAGGAGGGGAAAGGATTGTGCTGTAGCCTGTAACATAAATTCAGCTCTTTAGAAACAGCCACAATGCAGTATATGCCAACCGAATGACTCAGTAATGTAGGCTGGATAGCTTAGCGGCTCTGCTCTAGTGCATTGAGTGATTGGGCCTCTCCTGCTGCAGCTTCGAAGTCTTAGGAAAAGCTTTCGGCACTGATAGAAAAGTTTCCACTAAAAGACAGGTTGTGCTCCTTGAATTAAATATGTCCAAGCCACAGAAGAGACCCAGAGCTCTGGTTAAGTGGGTCAGACAGGACAGAGAGCACGCTCTTTGAAAGCACATGGAGAATAACGCAGTATGTAGTGCAGCATATTAAAGTATAAAGACCTTCATAACAATTTGTACTTATTTTGATTAGCTTTGTTCGGCTGAGCCACTGTTTTTGCTGAGAGCACAGAGGGGCCCCCTCCCCTAGTGGCTCAAGAGCAGAGGAAAGTGGAAAATGGAACCCATGCTGAAAACATATGACAGGGTTCACTTTAAAAAATATTCTCTCTCTTTTAAAGTGCAATTCAGGATGCATAAGCACATTTTATTCAAGCTACTCCTTTCTGATCTTTGGCACTTATTTTCAAGCTCAGGACTGTTGTACACTGCCTCTTTCTGAATCACCGGTAATCCAATTTTTAAACCACTGGGCTCAAAAATAATGATTTAGAAGGTAAGTGCATGATGCAAGTGTTTCACAGTCCAGGTTTATTGAAGGCAAAGGGGGCCCTTCCTCTTTTTAAGCTTACGTTCGCCACATTCCTTTCTTCCTTTGATGTGCAGACCTTACACTACAGTGCTGTAAACATCTTCTATTTAAAGGGTTTATCAGATCTATTCCACCTTAAGAAGTGAACGCGCTGGCAGTTGCTAACAGGAAAGACTGCATTCCTGAGCTGGAAGGAATACATTCATTCATAATGAATAGCACTCTGGTCTCCAATGGGAGAACTGCACAAGCCCTGACTTAATCCGGGGAAAATGTACAAACGTTTGCAGTCAATAGCATTGACTAGGATTATTGTTCACCAAGGTAGAGAAAGCCTGGGCGACAGAATCCTTTAACAGAACTCAACAGAACACAAACCTCCTTCTTTACTCTGAGTTTCCAGCTCACCAGCACTTCGCTCTGCTTCAGTATCATTGTCACCTAGAAACAACAACAAGAAAAAAGTTATGCAGTATGCCTTATTTGCTCAACAGGCAGCACAGGCCTATAATAAAGGAAGCTAGAAAAGTAGAGATGGGTCAGAAAAAGAAAAATTCACAAGCCAATGGTTGGATCCGGACTTAATCTTGACTAGAGTACAAATGAAAATCTAGTGACAACAATTTGACACAATTCAGCTACAACTAACCTAAAGTCCCCTTCATTTCAGCAGATCTACTCTCCATACAACCAGTTCTGGTTTTGATCCAGCCATATTTAGAATTCACTTTCCCAACAGTGTGGCAGATAGAAGGTTGTCAAAGGCCAAAATCCTGTTGCATAAATTACACCAGCATAGGGGAAATGATGACACCATCAGGGAGAGACTGCTGCTACTTAAAGAGGTCCTGCTTCAACCCTGGGTCTATTTGACTTAAATGTGATAATTCTCATCATCTACCGTGTTTCCCCGAAAATAAGACAGGGTCTTATATTAATTTTCACTACAAAAATGCATTATGGCTTATTTTCAGGGGATGTTTCATTTTTTTCATGTACAACAATCTACATTTATTCAAATATCGTTATGTCATCTTCTTCTGGTTGTTGCACAATGGTGGAGGGCGGGGTTTCACTTAACTGGGGCTTATTTTGGGGATAGGGTTTATATTACGAGCATCCTGAAAAATCATACTAGGGCTTATTTTCAGGTTAGGTCTTATTTTCAGGGAAACAGGGTATTTTAGATAAAATTACTCTTAATCTCAGATAAACTATTAAAGCAATAAAATGTATATAAGACAAGACATTTTGCACATGTGTTTTATTTCTGTTAACTTGGCTCCAACTGCCTGCCTATCCTCCCACAAATGTATAAGGAGAAGGAACCTCCATTCATGATTCAGAAATATTGTGGATTTCACCCAACTGAAAGCTTCCCTCTCCAGGGTGCCTTGCAGAGCCTCCTGATGATCAGAATTTACAGCAGAGCTGCCCCTGGATTAGGAACCAACACCCCCCCCAAAAAAATAACAACAATTTCATACTACTTTGGATCCAAGCTGTTCTCTTTCTGAGCCCCCCATCAGAATGGCTCAGTCTAGAAATTGCCTTAATATAGCTACATTTTGAAACATGAAAAACTCATTAAAATCAGGGTTACATAGCATGCAGGAATCCTGGATAAAGCTGTCAACATTTTCACCTCACAGCTGAACCCTTCAAAATACTCAACACATTATAAAAAAAATGCATGACAAACGACTTGAAGGCTGTGTGAGGCGGAAAGACAAAATGCAGCAACATAGCTAAGTTCTACCCACTGGGTCATCCTCTCTGGCTTTCACTGACATTCATTTCCCTCCTTTCCTGAGGTACCAGAAAATAAGAGCAACGTTTCGGCCTGAAGATGCTAAATGCAGAGAAAGCATCCGCCTACAAAAATCAAATCATGAATGATAACAGGTAACGTTGGGTTTTTTTTCTCACCAGTTCAGAAACTTTTGTGATAAAGGCACTCAGAACCACCACAGAGTTCAGCTGTTTAAACAACACTGCCAAGTTGTGTGTGTAAAAGAGGGAGAGAGGGAGGGAGGGAGAGCGCAAGAAAGATAGAGACTAAGAGTAAGTTCACAGGAAGAATCAAGTTTAAAGAAAATTGTTGGAAACATACTTAGAAAATGATCCAAGCAAAACTCATGTGCAGATGTATATCAGCTGACCCTGCAAAAGGTCTGTTACCGATCAACATCAATCTTTCTCTCAAGCTGCTGTGATTCTATCTCCAGCTCTGCTCCGTTTTCAGTGTTACTCATCAAATATCTCCTCTCTCTAACACAGTTACATACTACTGTTGTTTTTGGGGGGAGGGAGGAAGAGGAAGAAGGAGAAAGGAAAGAAGGAACACTGAACACGAGGTGAATACTGTACATCTCATAAAGGTTCTCTTTTTTAAAAAAATTCATTCGCTAGCAATCATTCAGTAAAATGGGTTTCCTTGCTCTTTTTGCTTGTTTGCAGGCTATGTTTTCGTACAACCAGCAGGTGGAGCTGATGTAGAGGCATTTATTTTCCTGCTAAACTACAGATCCTGCTGTTGTGATCTTTTCTTCTCAGAGATCAGCACTGGGGGCAGGATTCTCAACTGGTATAAATCAGTGTCCCAGCATCACATTCAGCAAAGCCATGCTGGAGTTCAGCACCTTTCCCTGCCTTCTAATATCCCGTACTGATTTCAGCTGACCTAAATGGATGGCTGATTTCTTAGTACTTCAGTGGGCTTCCAGGTTGTTGTTTTTTAATTAGATTACATGGATGATTACAAGTCTTTGATAAAAGTCTGTACCTTTCACAGACTCTCACTGGTCTTGCAGAGAAAATGTGTACAACTTAAAGAGTAAAGCCACACAAATATTTTGTCTTTATAAATAGCCTTACATATACCATCTGTTTCCAAAATGCACTTTATATTGTGCCTCAATGTGTGCTTTTCAGCAGTAATGCTTTATTACTAGATGACTCTCTCTGCCTAGATGTCGAGCTAGATAAACGCATTGGCAAAGCATCTACCATGTTCTCTAGAGTCACAAAGAGAGTATGGCTCAATAAGAAGCTGATGACACATACGAAAATCCAGGTCTATAGAGCCTGTGTCCTAAGCACATTCCTGTACTGCAGTGAGTCCTGGACCCTTTGTGCATGGCAGGAGAGGAAGCTGAACACATTCCATATGCGTTGCCTCCGATGGATTTTTGGCATCACCTGGCCGGACAAAGTTCTAAATAGAGTAGTCCTAGAATGAGCTGAAATTTTTAGCACGTATACATTACTGAAACAGCAACGTCTACGTTGGCTTGGGCATGTCATGAGAATGGCTGTTGGTCAGATTCCAAAAGATCTCCTGTATGGAGAATTATTGCAGGAAATTCACCCCAGAGGGAGACCACAGCTGTGATACAAGGACATCTGCAAGGGGGACCTGAAGGCCTTAGGAATGGACATCAACAGATGGGAAACCCTGACATCTGAGCATTCAGCCTGGAGGCAGGTGTTGCATCATGGTCTCTCCCAATTCGAAGAGACCCTTGTCCAGCAGGGCGAGGCAAAGTGGCAGTCACGAAAGCAACAAAATCAGTGAGCTGGACAGGGGACAGATTGCATTTGTCTTCAGTGTGGAAGGGATTGTCACTCTTGAATTGGCTTTCTCAGCCACACTAGACGCTGTTCCAAGTCCTCCATTCAGAGCATGTTAACATAGTATTTCGAGATGCCTAACTAGTAACTAACTAGATGACTCATGCCATCATTGCTGAATTCAAACTCCCATTTAAAAACCAGGAAATTCAATTCTTCAGAATACCTCTGTTTTATAAATGTGGGATACATCAGCAGTAGAGGTAGGGGTATTCATATTTGTATACGAATACCCCCACACAGGTGGGCATAATGAGGGTCCAGCACCCTAGGGCCGGACCATCCACTCACCTTTCGCTGTTGCCGTGGTCTCCACACTCCCTTTCTATCTGTGAGCCACTCCTGGCAGGAAGCAGGAGGATAAGCCTCACTGCAAGGTCAAAGAATCGCTCACAGACCGTGAGCTCTGGAGCGATAAGGAGAGCGGAGCCCACAGCAACAGCAGAAGGTGAGTGGACAGTCCGGGACCAGGTAGCTGGACCCTCATTATGTCCATATGTGCAGGGGTATTTGTATTCACATATGAATATGAATACTCCCATCTCTAATCAGCAGCCAAGGCGATCTACAGCAGAGGTCTCCAACCCCTGGTCTCCAGCCCAGTGCTGGTCCGTGGCCTGAGCCTGACTGACCAGTGCTGGTCCGTGGCCTGAGCCTGACCGGGCCGTGGAGAGACCTCCTCCCCCACTCCGCACACACTCCCCCCACACAGACAGTTTGCACCTACATGCGAGCAAGCGCCCACACGAGCGCTATGCCACCCTTCGTGCATGCGCACAAGTGCACCTCCCGCATGAGCACTGAGCCGCCCTTCGCACATACGCACAAGCGCAGGGGGTTGCCCCGCCTTCCCCAGCCAGTTCATGGGGCTAAAAAGGTTGGGGACCGCTGATCTACAGGATACCCTCTTGTGCTCACTACCATTCATAAAGTGACACCAAGCAAAGGAAAACTCCAGAAACTGATGCCTTTTTTCATCAATTAATCATGTCTCACTCAAACACAAAGCAATTGACAGGGCTGTCTTTCAATAAGCTTCTGTGCCAAATTTGGAGGTCCAGTTTCAAAGTTATAATTTTTTGTTGGGCGTTCCTCCATCTTTATAATTGCATTATGGAATGCAGAATTGTTCTGTTGCATAATATCTATTGCGGCACACTCATGTAGCAATAATATAGTAGAATTCATTCATTCATTCATTCATTCAGGTATCACCCCCTTGGTGCAATGCTCTCTTCTGGGCGGTTCACAACAAATAAAATAAACAGAGATATAACAGTATTTAAAATAAAAATTAAAAGTGTAAAATCAACCAGAAAAAACAACAAGTGGTGCAAAGGCAGAGCAGAGGTGTGACATCAAGCAGCGTAATTGTAGAAGGCCTCCCTGAAAAGCAGTGTTTTAAGCTGCCTTCTCCATATTAGCAGGGAGGGGGCTAGGCATAGTTCCACCGGGAGCTGGTTCCATAGTGTCAATGTGATGAAGGTCTGACTCCTCATAGAAGACTTCCGGGCCACACAGAGAAACATTGCCTGAGAAGATCTGCTGGGTTGGGCAGATGACATTGGAGAAAGATGCTCTGGCATATAATGTGGTCCCAAACCATGGAGGGCTTTATACATGGGTATCAAAACCTTGAATCTGATCCAGGACACAATGGGTAACCAGTGAAGGTGAGCCAAAACCAGAATTATGTGATCAAATTTGCTCATACCAGTTGCCAGTCTGGGCACTGCATTCTGGACTTGCATCCTCTGGGTCATCGTCAAGGAAAGCCCCAGATAGACATCATTACAACAGTTGATCCA